TCAAGAATTACATCGCTTGTAGTTACTAATTAGCAAGTTTTATTATTTTATTATTATAGGTTCTTTATTGAGGGATTATGTTGTTTTTAATCTACAAATGTCACGTAATAAATGAACGTATGAATTTTTAAATACGTAAAGTAATTACATTGTTATTTTTTTAACAAAAAAAAAAAGATTTTAACTTTTACAAACTCATTAAAAAAGAAAAAAAAAAACTTATTTTTCACATGCTTGCAAAAGTTTTAAATTTTTGTTTTTCTAAAACTTATATACGCTTATGGAGTGATAAAATATAAATGAAAATAAACATCGGCATGTAATAAATCTGATACGTGAATCGACTGACCTGAGGGACTGGGAGTATGACGAAAACATCCAGCCAAAAGCCTCTGAGCGAGCGAACATAGTGATAGGCGATGGCACGTGCGTCCCACACGAGTTTCCCACATCCCACCACCAGTGACGCCCTCGAAACATACGCCAACCTGAACTGAAACCACACGTGGGAGATATGCACCATGTCCACACAGGTGCGAAAAACAGTCACTACCGCCGCAAAACCTCCGTCCACGTAGACGCACGGGGCCCCACTCTCTAAAACGACGAGAGAAAGTGCGTAGAAGAACAACGGATCGACGGCCAACGCCACGCAACGTGCCAACAGCACCCCACGGTTCCACCTCTGCACCAGCGCCGTTCTCGGGTCCAGAATTCTGCTCGACGAGTTCCTTACACGGGTCCCAATCAGATTACCGAATTTAGACCCGATGGTGAACAGCGAAGACCCGGCAGAGGCCTCCCATTGCGGGCGGTGGACGCGGTCGCAGGTGGTGGAGTGGAAGGCGGGGATTCCTCCTTGCGTACAGGCGTAGCATTCTGGAGAGCTGGGAACCCGATTTAGATCCCTTTCAATTATGTCTCCCTCGGTTCTTCCTCCTCCGCATCGGGTTCGGGTCAGCCCGGTAAGCCAACTGTAATAAATTAAGAAGTTGAAAAACACAAACAGAAAAAAAGAAGAAGTACAAATCTGAGAATTCTGATCTGGTTATCGTAATGGGTTTGAAGCAAGATTGCAGAGTACGAGAACGTGTTTCGTTGTACTTATATATATACGATAAATATATGTATACATGTAGATAGGTAGATACCTGAGAAGGGAGAGAAGAGGAAGAGGAAGAGGAAGAGGAATGTGGATCATGACGGGGAGGAGAAAGCGAGAGGGAACATGAGAGAGAGCGTTAAGGTTTATAGGGGACAAGACAAGGGAGACGAAGGTCGGGTTATTTAAGGTAACTGACGATGAAGGCCGCTCTGTCGCATTTCAATCTTCGCACTCACGCTCATACTCGACTTGTAAATATTTACCAACCACCTTTTTTTTTTACATTTCATATATTATTTTACCCCCAAAAAATATTTATCTATTTTTTAAAATGACAATAAGGGTATCATTTATTATTATTATTATTATTTTAATAAATATATATATATAAAATAAATATCTAATGGTAAAGAGAAGATATATACAAGTTACGACAACTTTTTAATACTAATATATATATATATATATTATATATATATATATATATACCATTTAATATATTATTAGTTCATTTATCATTTATTTTATTGTCAAATTATTCTATTTTAATCCAATTTTACTGTTTTTAACCATTTTCTTAATTGGAACCTCAAACCCATCTCCTTCCCCAGCTACTTCTTTAAACTATTAACAAGCAAAGTCAAAAAATTACTGCAAATGTTAAAAATCAAATGTTGAATATTGTCCATGTCTCAAAGCACAGAACAGAATTTAGAATTCAAAAATCTGTCAAAGAGAAAAAAAAAAGGTGACAAATTTATACATGTGCACGTGTTCCTCTAAAAAAAATATATATATATATATTCATGCACTGTAGAATCGAACTGGTAATAGTTATATATATATATATATATTAGAATTTTTTATATAAATTATTTATCATTTATAGCATTCCAAATATTATATATAAGGACGACTCTTGAGGTGATGTAGTAATTCTTTCAAAAGCGATTCTAGTGGACTTAGGTGATTGTTGGAATGAAAGATTGGGACCTCATCATTTTATTTATCCAATCCTTCAAAAAAAAAAAAAAAGACCACGTGTGAATTAGGTACATATGATATATATACATTCTATACTTAATTCTACCTTCCCATATGGACATGATAGGATGCATCATCAATTTTTTCTGACTTGTTTCTCAAGGACTATCAAATGGGCACTATTTATATATTAATCTAAAAGTTTCTTGATATATGCATGCAAAATCTAGACTATCTTAGCATAAAATTTGAATCCATTACATAAAATCCTTAAAAACCATGATATCTGTAGTATATTTATATTACATATGAAGTATAAAAACCAACAATAAATTTGCTGGGAGTGTATTTCTTTATCGAGATAATATTATTATATGGTCTATCACTTCTTCATCAAAAGTGAAATATAAAATATAATTTTTTTGAAAAAAAATGCATGCAATACATTCATCACACTGCGAAATCCCTAAGTGGACTAAGAAGAAAGCTAACCAAGAGAATAGCTTCCAAATAACATAACTAGATCCATATAGCTTTAGAACTTTTTTATATAAAGTATGAGTAATCTTATTATAATTTGTAAGAATCCAACAAAAACAAAGAAAACTAAAAAATTACAAAAAATTAACAACATTATCTAATAATGTATTAAACATCGATGTAGAAGAAGACTCTTAAGCCATATAAACTGCTTGGGAATCACTCTTAATGATTACCTTTTGTGTACCCCAAATCATTATAATCTTTAGATCGAAAGTTGTCGCTTGGAGATTTGCTAATTCAATTGTATATGGTATAGGGTTATGCCTCATGTCCATCGCTATAACTC